TAACCTATGTATTTTGTATCATTGCTAGTAAGTGATTCTTCTTCCACCAGCACAGTCGTGTAGTCTGAGAAATGATGTTTTACTAAGAAATAAGTAAGATAATTATTACCATTTACTGACTCATAACATGGGAGACTCAAGCTTATAGAAAAGTGGAGTAGGAAACTCATGCATACCAAGAAGATACTATGACCTGGAGACATATTTTCATCAGAAGGGTAAAGGGAGAAGGGCATCACTGGCAAAACTGCTGGCCTGCTGTTTCTTTGCTCCACGCGGGAGGTATTGACATTACAGATATGCTGTGTTACACAAAACCAATTTTCACATTCTTGGAAAGATTAATTAATGATTGAAAGACGAACAGTTTGGAAAGACTGTAATGCATCTTCACATTGCATAATAGGCTCCAGCCTTTGGTTCCAAAAGTGTCATGTAAAGGTTTGCCAGGAAAACAATAAATAATTAAAGCGTTTGGCACGTTATCAGGTTACTTATGAAAAGCGTGAGGATGTTTTTTATTGCTTTTTAGTACAATATGCCAAACAAATAAACTGTAACATACAACATTTTACAAAGCTCACTGGTATTTCTTTCTTTTTAAAATTTGTAAATATATAGGTTGAGATTTCATTTAATTGGCTTTTTTCTGTGAGCAGGAAAAACATCAAAAACATTTATATATGCACATTTACATTTTACAGATTCATTTCTTTGCCTTTCTTCTTTATATTACCCAAACTTAAAAGTTACAGTGTAACCTACATATGTGCTTCTTGTCACTTGTAAAACTTCAGTGCAGGGTCAACATTCTGCACATGGCTCATTTTACCGGCCAATGAGCTCGAAGGCTGGGCCAACACCTTCCACACCCCTAACTCATCCATCCATCCACACACACACGCCATTTTGAGTGCGTAAATATGTGCCAAATTCAGTCCGCAGACCTGCTGAAACTTCGCACACTTGTGTAAAAATAGCGCAGGAGCAGCCTCGAACACCTCCAATATTCAAACTTCCCGCACTTATCTTATAAAAATCTGTTACAAGCGCAAAAGGCTCTTCAAAGTCCGTTGCGTGACGTTCACGAGTTGCACTACTTTTACTGTCATGCGCTGGCTCAGTGTTTTGCCTCATCTATCATGGCGGAAAAGTCTTCCCGTCTTACACTTTACGTAAACCTGTGACGTTTCTATTACTTAAGCAACTTTTCACAGCTCATATCGCCATCGAAAAGTCATCTTATAATCTGATCACCCACCTGAGAGGGGAAAAAAGGTAGGCTACTATAAAGTATTTTGTTTGGATATGTTGATCTTGATGTATTTGGCATGCTTTAAGGAGAAATGTGTGAAGCATTTTACACAGGTTATAAGGAAATGTCTGATTAAACATTTTTAACATATTTGTTTAACCCAAATAAAAACTACACACCAAAGTTTGCCCCTTATATAATAAGATGATATAACAATACCCAAACACAAAAGTAACTTTGCTACAACTTGCACTCAGGTATTATTGCGTAATAACGCCTCAAACACTGTGAGGTGTACACTCTAATATGCATTTACTTTTATTTTGTGCCCTTTAGTAAAATGGCTCTCAGAAGTGCCTTCACACGTCTACTCTCCAACAGCCGTATGTCCGTGGCTGTCACTGCATCCAGAGCTCAGGGCACAGCGGTTGCAGCACAAAAAGGTACGACTGATATTTTAGATACACAGGAAGGTAGTGTAAAGTTTGGAATCACAGTCTATGGGTGTCTTGAGGTAGGAAATGCAATTTTTAGTTGTGATAAAAAAGAAAGCACACATAAGAGCTGGAAAAACATGAATATGTTTTCTATATTTGTCTCAGATGATCAACAACACTTTAAATTTACATCTTTAGGTGCTGAAGAAGCCAAAAAGCCAGCAAAGCCAGGTAAAGATTTGAAGTGAAGCTTATGTTCTATTATAGTGATGTGATCATAGTGAATGTGTGTGTGTTAATGTTCTGGCGCTCAGCCAAGGTGGCATTCAACTGGTGGGATGCACTCGACCTGGAGGGTCAGCTGACGGAGGAAGAGATCATGATCCGGGACTCGTTTCGGGACTACTGCCAGGAAAAACTCATGCCGCGCGTCCTTATGGCCAACAGACATGAACGTGAGTTAAGCAGGATTAATATGTGTGGTTCAGGCTGTGCACACTGTGAATAATTCAGAAAAAAAATCTGTTTCTGTCTTTAATCCGCCTTTACATTAAGGTGTGTAAAATGAATCTCATCTAAATATTTGTCATTTTCTTATTTTCTAACATGCGCCATGCTACAGATTTTCACCGTGAGATTGTCTCAGAGATGGGAGAGTTGGGAGTCCTAGGCCCGACTATTAAAGGTAAAACAAACAAAAAAACTAATGCTCCCCCCTCCCTCCTTTTTTCCTGCTTTTTGTTATATTTCACTGATTACACTTAGTAGTTTTTTTAAGTTGTTTTTTTTCCCTTTACACTGCAGGGTATGGTTGTGCAGGTACGAGTTATGTGGCATATGGTTTGATTGCCAGAGAGGTTGAGAGGGTGGACAGTGGATATCGGTCTGTAATGAGCGTCCAGTCTTCACTGGTCATGCACCCGATTAATGCGTACGGCACAGCAGCCCAGAAGGAGAAGTACCTGCCCCGGCTTGGTAAGTGCGACATTCTCTCCTCTTGTACTTGACATTTAAAATTTGCAAAGGGCTAAAATCCATCTGATTTCTGGTGTGTGTTTATTTGTTCTGCAGCTCGGGGAGAAATTGTAGGTTGCTTTGGTTTGACAGAACCAAATCATGGCAGTGATCCCAGCAGTATGGAGACTAAGGCCAAGTACAACCCATCGAGTGGTACCTTCACCATCAGCGGAGCTAAGACCTGGTAGATAGACACATATAGAACAAGATGTATTGGTTTGAAACTTGCATGGAGTAAAAATAAGACAATGGAGCAGAGACCTGTATAAGTTTATATAACTTGGAACTGTGTGGATCCCCATACTGCCCATATGGAAAAGAAATAGTAAAAACCTATATGTGATTACTCATGAAAGTGGCCACTTTCTCATTACTTTCATACATTGTTTTAGTAAGTATCCAAAACATACAAGTTTCATTATATAATTTTTCAAGGGATCTTATATCTGTTTTCACTCTTATATGCTTTTCATACAAGTTTCACACAAGACAGATACAAACTTTATAAGATTTATATATATCTTTTCCATATGGGTGAGGACACAATAGTTCTGCCATTTGATGACTAATCATATAGAAGTAAACATGTGTAATAATTTAGACATGCTGACAAAGCCTGTTGCTCTCTGTGAAACTAAATTACTTAAATATCTAAATAATCAAATACACTGATTTCCCCACATCTTTTCCTAGGATCACAAACTCTCCTGTGGCAGACATTGCAGTAGTCTGGGCGAAGTGTGAAGATGGGAGAGTGCGGGGTTTCATCTTGGAGCGTGGCATGAAGGGCTTTTCTACCCCCAAGATTGAGGGAAAATTTTCTCTTAGGGCGTCTGCCACTGGCATGATCCTGATGGATGAAGTAGAAGTTCCTGAGGAGAACCTACTGCCCAATGTCTCTGGCCTCGGTGTAAGTTAATGTTTTATCTAATGAAGTTTGGCAAACTTAATTTTTACAGCTTGTATGAATATTAGTAGCTTAAATTTTTTGTTGTTTGTCTTTGTATACAGGGTCCTTTTGGTTGTCTGAACAATGCCCGGTATGGTATTGCCTGGGGAGCTCTGGGAGCAGCTGAATTCTGCTTTCACGCTGCTCGACAGTACACTCTGGACAGGTACACAACTGTGTTTGCAGACATTGCCCAAAAACGTGGCAAAACATAAAAATCCAGAGAAAAGAGATCCATGTTACCATTTCCCCCGCACATGGCTCATACCTTTGTATCCTCCAAACAGAATCCAATTTGGTGTGCCACTGGCCAGAAACCAGCTGATGCAGAAGAAAATGGCTGACATGCTAACAGAGATCACCATTGGGCTGCAGTCATGCCTGTACCTGGGAAGGCTTGTTGATGAGAAGAAGTGAGGGCTGTCTTTCACGTGTCACTGCCTGCTTTATTGTTTGCTGTTCTACTGCCCCTCCCCTGCAAACCCCCCCAAAAAAAACAACTAAAGAAGGGTTTCTTTTGTTTTTTCTTCCTCATCTTAATAGGGCGGCACCGGAGATGATCTCCATGCTGAAGAGAAATAGCTGTGGCAAGGCACTGGATATTGCTAGACAGGCCAGAGACATGCTAGGAGGAAACGGCATCTCGGATGAGTACCACATCATCCGTCATGTTATGAACTTGGAGGCTGTCAATACATACGAGGGTAGGGAAAATTAAAAGTAATGAAAAGGCTTTTAAACTCAGCAGCAGTTACATATGTCCACCACTAGATGTCAGCAATGTACAGATTATTGACGGAACGTTTTTGGTTTACTTATTAAACTGTATTTGAGATATTTTTTGTATTTGAAAACAACTTATGACCTTTTTTCTATTTCACTACTTTCTTTATAGGAACCCATGATATTCATGCCTTGATCCTGGGCAGAGCGATTACTGGACTTCAGTCTTTCACTGTGAAAAACTAAATGATGTCAACTATCTTCTTCAAACTGACTTGAAGTGATGAAATTTGAAACTAATTTACCTCATATTAAGAGCAATTCATGGTGGGATACATCACAAACACCTCATCATATTCACATTTATAGCATACTGGGGGAGGCAATATATTATTGCCTTGTTAAAGTGAATATTAAAGGTCAACCTAACATAGCTTACGGTCCAACTGAGATATGATATTTATGATGACAATGCATGTAAATAAATGGCTTGAAATAAACAGGAAGATGTTTTAATTGAAGACCCTAAATAACGCGTCTTGAATTCTCAAATGTTTTCATGTCACATTGGTTGATTTCAATCTAAAGAATCGCACACTGGGATCACTGTAAAGACAACAGTTTATAACAATACATAAATGGTAAATCACAAGTAATTTAGAATATTTTGCTTGTTTGTTGTCATTTTATTTACTAAATCAACTTATGTTAAAACAAAAGAGAGAGAAAACAGTATTCAACTTTTCTTATCTTGGACTGAAGCCATCAATGTTAAGTAGAACTATTGTCCTATAAGCAACCAAAAGAAAGAGGAAGCAAAACACTGAACATTACACTGAATATATTTACTAATACTGAATAACTTAATGAGTTCACAATACGATTAACTTCAGATAGAAATTATAATCTCATGGCATGTCTCCTTCACGGAGACATGCCAGGGCTCTGTTGGCTTCCAGCAGCTCATGACTGAACTTTGTGCAGCTGTCCAGCACCTCCTGCAGCTCCTGCAGATTCACCTGCATCCTGTCACTGTTCTCTTCAAAGACCCTGTACATGTGCTCCTTCATCTGCATGCACAAATCTGTCACCTGATAGATGGAAAGGATCAGAACAGATCAGAGATGGTCAGAAGCTTTGTAGACATGACAGCCGAGCATCTGCTACTAGCTCCAGCTAGATGCATAAAATTAATTTTGTACCTTTTCTACCAACGTCTCCTGAAAGCTGTCTATCATTTTCTGGTTACTGATGCGGCTTTGGTTAATCTTTTCCACCAATTCCTGTGCCTTTCTGCTGATATCATCTGTCCTTGAGCTACAACAAATGTAGATTAGATTAGAATCCAATTCCTTATTGAAGTTAAGATTCCTATTTAATTAACATTTTCCCCACTTCCTTTACCTAACGATCTGTCCTCTATCCCCCATCACAGATTGGTTCTTTTAGCACATAAGTGAAATCCTGTCTTCCTGATAATTTAAGGGCTGCACTCTCTTTCACTCACTCTTTTTCATCACATTGGGCAGGAATTATTTTAGTTTAGTAACTTAATGTAACCAATAAATTCATAACTAGTGTAAATTGGAAACTTTGCTTATTTGCCAGACATAGCAGTCCATGGTTCTTCCACCCATTTAATTCACAATTGGATTAAATATACAGTAACTTAAACCTTTAAGTACAGAAGCACTTATTATTTGAGGAAAGATACAAGTGATCTTAAAGTAACGTTCCCAACATTACACAGCTGGGTGAGTAAAGATGACTGATCTACCTGCTATGGTGCTCTTGAATCTCAGTCACGCTCACACTTGAAGATTCCCCCCTTGATGAATCACAGTCTGTGTCTTCTGTCTGCCTCATCAAACATAATGAAACAAAGAAATTATTCTACTTTAATCAGCTGTATAAGAAACATTAATCATGGAGATCTAATGCTGCAGATGCTCTGAATTTCAGGAAGAACTGAAATTATAGTTTAACCTGTATAATCATCAATCACCCAAAGTAAAATCTCAGATAATTAAGGCACTAGGCTACAGTACCTTCCTCCTTAGAGCTCAATTTGAGGGATGGACTACTACCGTTCAAAAGATATTCCAATGTTAAAGGAAAGAGCCGCCTGTAAAGTGCTAGTCTTAGGTGTTTATTAAGCAGTGGTGTGGTGATACTGGCCCCTCCTGGAATACACTGTATCCACAGAAACACTGGGGCACCTACACATTACACCTGCAGGAGCTGTTCATCCATGGAAACCCACACAAGAAGCTCCCAGTGAACAGTTTTTGTGCTGATATTAAAACCAGAGGAGGTTTGAACCTCTTACTGGGTCAAAACCATTACAAATTATGCCCTAAACCCTATTCTGCAACTTTACCTTGTAAATGGCTGATCCTAGATGCATCCACTTTGCAATAATAACACTTAACAGCTGATCACTGAATGTCTAGTAGGGAGGAAATTTTACAAACTGACTTGTTGCAACAGTAGCAAAGACCCATCCTTTCACAAATGAAGAAAGATTTCACGGCTAGGTGCTTGATATGACACACCTGTGGACCATTATTTATTTTCATATAGTGTTTTTAATCATAACTGCACATAATCTTTGTCACCTTATCTAAATATGCCAGTGTTGTTTTTATTCTTGTATTAAGAGAATACACATTACCATCCGTGAGACTTCACACCCTTTCTTGGGAGTGTACTGAAAATTTGATGGTAGGTCCTCAAAACCAAAATCCATTTGGGTCTTTTGACTCTGCAAAGCTAAATCTGAGCTGAACGGGGGAAAAACAATCACACCATTACAAAAAAGTTTAAAGTACAGTCATTAGCAAAAGTATATAGCTAGTTAGGCTAGTCTGTAAAGCTAGCTTAGTTACAGGCATATTTGCGTCAAAAAGAACCCCTCTATATAACATACATATTACATTATTCAGTTGGTCATATACAGTAATAAACAAGGGCTATAACCTAGCTTTGGCCCAAAACTGCTACACAAATAATGCTTTACACTAGCTAACGGCTAACTACTACCTATTTAGGATTAAAGCTAGAGTCATAATCCGGCGGTTTTTCTACTAAAACCTATTCAGCCATACTTACTTGAACATTATTGTGTTAAAACCACAGAATGTATATATCATGTGTGTCTGCAATTAATGGTTAAACGGGGAGATGTTCCCAGATACCTCGAAAAGTTGGGAATAGTAAAGCAACAGTAAACCACACTCGACTCCAAACCCACCGACGTATGATTATAATTTTGTAGATATAAAAGCAAGGTTATCATAGTTAAACTAAATGAAACTACTGGTTAAGTTTTAGTTAACTGTAATAAATTAATAAAACAACAACCATCTGAATGATCCTAAAAACAAAAAATAGTCCAAGCGGCTTAATTTATGTATATACTTTATTTTTAGAATATCCTAATACAAGAAAAAGCAGCTTAGATACACATATTTATTGAAACTGAGACGTCTGGATACCTGAGAGTTAACCGACTTTAAAAATGGACGTATTTGTCATATTTCTTACATACCTTAATACCAGTAAATGTCTAAGCAGAAAACGCGATTCATCAGGTCAGGCAATATTTTTCTAGTCTTCTTTTGCCCAGATTTCAAGGTTTTATGTTTATGTGCATTCAGAGATGATGTGTTTTCACTTTTCTTCTGATATCAACAAGGTAGAGAAGAAGAGAGCCAGAGAACTGCCACTCACTGGATACTTACTTTTGGACCATCTATAAACTCTGTAGATGGGGAAATGTGAGGAAATTCAAATAGATCAGCAGTTTCTAACATTTTCAAACTTCTGCCTGGTGTTAGAGCCGTTTGATGTTTTTGGTGCTATTACAACTTGTCACCACAAGAGGGAGTAGTAACGCTACTTGCCACTGTCTCCACTCCCATTTAATCCAGGTTCAATGCTGCTCAGGTGTGATGTGTTAGGACAGAGGCAAACAGTTTTTTAACCACGTATCATGTAAATGAGCGTGTATCATCAAGTATGGTTATGTTAGATCCTTTTTGCATCATCTTAAAAAAATCAGAGCACCCAACTTCGGACGGGCAGATGACCTGCTCCACCTCCTGAGGCACAGCCATCCCACTGAACTTTAGCAGGTCACCTTGATCAGGTCCACATACCTAAGTGCACTGAGAATTCAATAGTCTGAACTGATGTTATGTATATTTCTCATGTATGTAAATTGACTTTTATTTGGCTTAGAAGAAAAAGTTTGAACTAAAATTCACGTTATTTCTATCAGCTTCCAGAAATGGTGGTCTTCTTGCAGTAAGTGAGTGAGTTAAGCTTTTTTCCTACAAGTGATATTTGGATGTGTTTTGCACTTTAACTGCAAAGTTTTTGCAGCTGCACTTGAAAACAACAGTTCTTTGCATATTACATTAGATTGACTGGTTGATGTTCCAATAATATGGCACCAACATGACCAAGACGAGCAACGCAGCTCATGAGCTCAAAAGAAGGCAAACATTAGGTAATGTTTAAAGAAGACCCAGCTTTTTAAATTTAGACCTTTCCAGGTGATGACCCCATTAAGCTGGTTTAGATATTGCCAATAGTGTCTGAAGCTATCATGCAGACAACTTCCTGTTAAAAGGCTGTAGAAAGAAAACTCTTTTTTTATGTACTTTTTCACAAGACATAGGTTCATTTTTTTATATGTTGTATCTTTCTTTTTTTTTTTCAAAAGAAAGGATGCAAGCTAGTAGTAATAGTGAAACACCTTTAGGAAGCTGGTTTGTCTGAGCTTTTCACTGGGATGCTCTTCATATGTGTGGATTTGTGGGAATGGGTTTAATAGTAAGTGAGTATTATAGCTGAGTAAGCACTTACAAGATAGTTGTGGATTAGGTGCTCTGTCATTCTGTGGGCTGGGATTGGGATGGGATGAGGAGTTGCTTGATCGCTGCTGTGATTTGGAGCTTAATCCCTCCCTTCATCTCTCTCTGTCTCTCTCTCTTGCTCTGCTGCTGATCATAGTCTGGATTATTTCAGAACAGAGATTGCAGCACGCAGGAGGCAGCACAGAGGCTGATATCCTGATTTTTTTTTTTTTTTGCTTTACTGGAGGATGAACTGATGATAACAACATGCATCATAATGCAAATTAAAGAATAAGCTGGGTAGAAATATGAGCTGGAGGGATCCACATGTGTTAAATCTGCAAGCAGCAAACACATGGTCTTGGCAGGTGGGTAAATTTACTCCTTGACTGGATTTGAAATGATAACAGATGTAGATTTTGACACTTTTCCTGTAAACTGTTGGGAGTGACGTCTCAGCAAGAAGGTAAATTATACATGCAATGGAATAACTGCTTCTCTGTGCTGGACGTGGAGGCTGCTAATCTGGGAATATGGACAGTTTTAACTACACAGAAGAAGGATTGCCATCATTTCAGTATTTGGTTTACAATGAGGAGCCTCTCTATAAGGAGTACAAGCCTCCTCCCAGAGATCTCATCCAGCTGCCCAAATCGGTCCTCTACCTTCTGATGGCCGCCCTGGTCGTGGTTGCTGTAGCTTACGCTATTGTGGGTCATCTCATCAAAGACCTCATGCTGGATATAACAGGTAATCTATTCTATCAGAGGTAGCTGCTCACTCCAATGATCTGAAATTTTTTTTATATACAAGACCATATTTTATTTTATTTTTAAAAATTGGAATAAAGTGATGTGCTGTGGTGTTTGCTAATGTGATGTAGTAGTTGGAGTAGTTTGTATTAATAGTCCAAACCTTAAATCCTTTCACCTTGGAGATCCCTGTACTGGGACCAGGCTGTATCCTTTTTAAAACACACCCGCTATTTTTAAAGGACTGCTAAACACAAGTGAAGAGACTGCAAACTACTATCACTAGAACAGAAACATTATGATTATGGTCATTACCAAAGTTTCAGGTTTGGTGGAGTTGCAGCTGAGGTTTTCTGACATCATTGTCAATGTGCAATGCAACCATGAACATGCTCTTTACTAGTTCGCCGTTTTATTTATTAGTTTATTTCTTAAAGAACCCGAGGTTACTCGATTTGCCTTTTACTGGTGTGCAGACTGAATTTTGGGTGTTTCAGAAGTAAATTATAGGACAGTAAAGGTCAATAATTTTGATCTTATCCCTGCTTTTTTATCCATCTACAGACTGTTTGCTGGGACCAATTGAAGAGGAGCTAACGAAAGATGGAGAGGTGGAGGGAGTCAGCCCTCACCACATGCCACCTGCCCTCACTCACTCCCACCCAAATGCCTTCCACGTGTGGGATCAAGACGACATCATCATCCCTATGACGCCCGAGCATGAGAGCCCGCTGCCCAGCCCTTTGATGACTGTCTCCCACTACATACCGTCCTTTTTCCCCAACTCCATCAGTCTGGGCAGCCCTTCTCACAGTCGACCAATCCCAAAGGAGAGCGATGCATGAAGAACACAAAGGATCTGAGACAGGATCTCAACCTTCTTCTGCTGAGCTTCTTTAGCTCCTTTTTGTCATGTCTGAAACACCTTTCCAAACCTGCCCTAGAGTCACCCTATCTGTCTGGAAATACACAAGTTGTATGACTCACAAGGCCAGTTTGCATGCATGGATTTCCTTCTCTTGGAGCAGCTGATGTGTATTCGACCAAGACGGGAACAGACTACTGCACATTTCCTGCAGTCCTGAGCTCACGTAGAGCCTGTGATACTTTGTTTAACAGCCTTCACTTGTTGTGGATTTGTGCCAAGTTAGCGTCATGATTATACCTTTTTCTCCTGCCAGTTGTCATGTCATCCTAAACTGTCACTAAAGTCTGTAGCTAAGATATAAAGAACTTAATTTTGATCATTTAACCACATTTATAATTGTGAACAAAGGCAAAGGTTCAAACTTCAGTTAATATCATGTATTAAAGCTTTTATTAACAACTGTTAATAATATCACAAAGTTTATTCACAAAATTTAAATACCTAAAGAGAAATAATAATGAAAGCAGTGCACCTTGAAGGTGTTTGTGCTGAATTCATGTGGTGAATATTGGTGCTTAGTCTATTTGCTAACACAGACTTATTCCTATACTAAATATATTCTGAGCCTTAGGAGGATAGGCTGAACTCGCTAATTAATAGGGTGAAGTTGATTCGATTAGTGTGACCTCTTTAAGGTGACTGTGTGATGCTTTCTAAAGATGTGAAGGTTACTTCAAAAAATGGAAAATACAAAAACAGAACAAGAATCTCCACTTTGATATTGAGGTTAAGAAAAGCAACATCAACAAATAAAACAAGTTTTTATTTCTAAGAATTTATAATTGATTGTTATTTAAATTCTAAAAAAAAATGTGTATATGTAATGAACATCTGTAGAAGGGATACTTTTTTTTTTTGCTTGTTGGGATTAAAAAAACATGGTTATACAACACCAAATGACAGATTTCAGGGGCCATTTTAAGCAGCATATTGGCCGGCAAAATCCGTGGAGATTAAAAGCACATGGAGGCTGTGACAACACACACACATATTTGCACGCTGTCAGCACTTTCACTCATAAAAACAGACCATGTTAATACGACGTTTGCCAGCAAAGGTGGAGTAATCTCCTTTTTAGGTACAGGCCTGGAGCTTAAAAGGAGAAAAATGACCAGAGTAACATATTTCAGGGGGAACGCTCATTGAGTTCACATTGCTCATTCCATCTGTGAAACCCGGAGGTCAGCATTCAGTGAGGGGTGGAGATTACGGAGAGAAGATTAGATGAGCGGCTTAGCCTTTAATACAGTGTCCCTTTATTACTTTTGAGCTGTGGAATTAGATAATCGGACAGCATCGGGCCATTCTCAGTGTATGAACTTCCAAATCTTGTGTGAGACGAATGACTGAAGATCTTCAATGGCTTCCGGGGAAGAGAGGGGTCAAGAGCAGAAGCAGGAAGTAAAGAGCCAGAGATTAATGGGGAGAGGAAATGATCGGATTTAAGTGACCCAGGATTGAGCTCTCTGAAAGGGTTTTGTGTGACAGAGGCACAGAGGGTTAAAATTTCTATGACTGCATTTTTAAACACTGCCTCTGATGTTTGCTTTTGCTTGAAAGGAAAACAAATGCACAAATGTGGAGCTGAGCATTGCAGATGTGCAGGTGCACAAACGCTTCTCAAGACAACTCAAACAGCTAATTGATGACACAACTTTTTTATTTCACTAAATACATAGATTAAAAAAAACTTTTTAAAACCTTTTTTTTCCCTTTTGTTTTAAATCAAATCAATGTTTTCCTTTTTCTTGTTATTAATCCCACATTTTGTGCTCTCTTCTATTTCAGTGGTGTCAGTGGCAACAAACCTAACTAACTAACTGAGCTAACTTTGTAGCAGCAGAGGGCGGATCAAGGACTTCATCTGTATGTTATTTTAACAGTTTTCTTAAAATTAGTTTTAAGAAGTCTAAGATGTATATTGGTCTCCTAAAGAAGATATTTGTGACTTAATCTGCTAAATTTTTTGCCTTTTTAGTGCTTTTTTCCATTCATGCCAGTTCTGAAAATATGTATGATAGCCACTTAAAACCTGAATTTTAACTGCTGCTGATGTACTGCTAGAACATACAGGCATCCACTAGATGTGAAAGATCAGTAGACTGACTCACTTACAGGAACTTTAGAAACTGCCTAATCTTTAGTGTCTGACCTGACATGTACCTCAGTCAGGTTTTCTTTTGGTCTACAGTGGATTTAAATAAGTCAGGGTTAAGTGATCCTTGGCAGTCCTCTATCTTCAGGTGATGGCTTACCCTCAACTGACTTCTCATCAGCATTGACTCACTTGGTGATTCTTGCTCTCACTCTGACGATGCATGACACTAGTGGACTTTAACTCATCCCAATTGGATCAGGATAACACTCACCGGCCCTGTAATAGCCTCGGTGTAGTTAAGGCAAGGCCAAGCTTAAGGTAAAAATGTTTGTGGCATTACATCATGTAGAATAAATTATAGTTCTTGCCTGTTGTTGTTTCTGAAAGCGATGGGTGAACATATTTTGACAATGGAGAATAAAAATCAACGATTCTCATAATTTTATTTTATATGAAACAGGTTTTAGTTTATGAATTTTTTTAAATATATATCAGCAGACGAAGGTAGAAAGAATAAAAACCAGCCTGTTGTCAGTCTCTGCGTCCTTCCCAGGTTAACTTTGACTGGCTGGCTGAATTTATTCAGATCACAGTCACTGCAAATCTGCTGTCGTCGAGCCTGATCCTCTGCTGGCAGGCCAGGTGGTTCTCTCTCACAGACAAAAGAGCTCTCCCTGTGAAAGTCTTGACCTCTCCTGTCCTTCAGCAATAGCCAGCCTCATCAGTATTAAATCTCCTGATGTGATGAAGTGCTGTTTCTGGCACACATGTAACAGATGAATAAATCAACTCTAAATTTGTCACAATATGTCTTTTATTTGCAAAAAAAAAGTGCCTTTCTTTTGATGCATACCTCACCAATGCATTGATATTAACAGTCAGTTATATCAGAACTGGTAATAAAACGTGTACATTTCTTAAGTCTTTGGATTGAATAAGACTTGACAGGTTTCAGAAATCAGTGTAAGCCCCCAAATCATTCAATGCTTTCTCTAATTTCTCATTTGTTTTGAAAGACATAAATTCAGATGCACTTGCAGAGTAAGAAATTCAAGCACCACAGCCACATTTTCAAAAGTTCAGGACAGATGACAAAGGCACTATTTATTTTACAGTAGCATAAAGTCACATTTAAAACCAGATGATTCTTTTAAAAATGCTTTGAAATTAATGCCAAAGATTTAAAAAAAAAAATAAGAGATCAAGACTCATTACTTGATTTCACACTTACGCTGCAGATTACACCATATATAACTGTTCCTGCTCATCAGTCTATTCAAGATCTCTTTGCGAGAGAACTGTGCGATAGAGAGAAGTGCCTTTCGCCTGGTAGAAAGTCACGGTCATCTTGTTCTTTGTCACTTCTGCATGGATGAATCCTCCCAGTGTTGAAGCCTTGCCGGTGAAAAACTTAAGAGAATCTTTGGGAACATGGCGCCAGTGACGGGTATCAGGATCCAGGAAGTTTCCAGCACCGCTCACCACATAGCCTATGTTAGACTCTTCGAGGTACTGTGGGAAAAAGAAGAGGAAAATTCATTGTAGCTCTAAGAGTAGCTATGCAGATTTATATCAAATGTTAAACATACTCTTCCCGAACCAACCTGCAGGTTGTGGTCATGGCCGCAGAGGTAAGCAGTGGCCTTGTATTTGATGAGCAGTGGACGGAGGCTTTGCACCAGACACTTTGTGGGGCCGTGCTCGGACACAGACCAAACAGGGTAGTGGCCTGCCACCAACAGGAAGTCTGCCTTGGACAGAGCCAGTCTCTCTTGCAGCCAAGCCAGCTGGCGATTGGCATCCAATTCATTCAGGGGTCCACTTGGCTTCTTGTCCGAATTGTCGTCAGAGTTACCGCAAAGCATCACAGTGTCAAGCATGATGATGGTCAGAGTCTTCCCCGTGTTGGGAATGCGGAAGTTCAGCTCATAGTAGTACGAGGGGAATTTCCTATCAAAGGTAATGAAGAGGCATCAAAATTTAACTGAGTATTTCCTAAAAGCTTAAAACTTTAAGATGTCCGAACTTTATATTCTGCCCCTTACCATCTGTTAGATCTGCTGCTGTAGTCGATCTGGGCTTTGACATTCCCTGCGTGGTCGTGATTGCCAGCGATCACATACCAAGGGACTTGGAGGGACTTTGCAGTGTACACAGATTCAAAAGTTTCCTGATAAGAATAAGGAAAACATAGTTACTGCTTTCAACACACAGTTTTAAAATACAGTGTTGTTTTTTCACGCCACATTTATTCTACTCACCTTAAACCGAGGAGAATCCACAGTGTTCACACCTTTGTAGTAGAAGTTATCGCCCAGAGCAAGAACAAAATCAGCTCCCATCTGGTCTGCTATTTTGCTCATTTCTTGAGCTGTGGCCTTCTGCACAGCAGTGATGTAGGGGGGATAAGGCACACCACCCCAGTCGCCCACTGCCAGAAACTTAATGGAGGTTCTGTTGCCTGTAAGAGGAAAAGAATATTAGTACTTCTGATTGGAAAGTAAGCTTATGAAAGTCAGTGTGGCGTAATACTCACTGCGACTTTCCTCCAGGTTTTGGAAGGCAGTTGGATAGCAGTAGGCCACGGGGATGGCAGCAATCAAGATGGATAAAATAGTGACTGCCATCTTCAAAGACAAACAAAGCATTGGAATTTAAGTTAACGGCAAATTTAAACTCGGCTCAGTCACAAGATGTGACACCACAGAAATGAAAGTCAGCACCTGCAAAAGCAACAAAGCAGAAGCAAAATGAAACAACCAAAACCACAACCTACCATGTGACGCTAAGCTTCGCGCTCTCTCTCTCTCTGCCTCCCACTACGCTAAAGAACAAGTCCCTCAGTTATGCTTTTTTTTTTTGTCCTAAAGGTGACTTGTGATTGGCTGCAGCCTAAAGCTGACATGCCTCAGCTGGAGTAAATAGAAACCAATCAAAGAAACCGTGTGTGTGTGAGGCAAAGGTCAAACGTCTACATAATTAAACAGATAAAAAGACCCTCAACAGAGACGCCACAACAACAGTGTGAAGTGCTGCCTGATTGATGAGGGGGGGAAACAGCTTTTCATGTGTAAAGAATAGGTGTCAATATGCAGAGATAATGTCGTCAAAGACAAAACACTCACGGCTGATGGGATCTGTTGGGACACTCTCCACCCTCAGAGTGATCGTCGTTCCCCCCTCGCCTTTTATCAGCAGTCCTGGAGGAGAGGATGTAGGAGGACCAGCCCCGGGACACGCTGGAGAGGCATGATCATTGCTCAGACACTGACTAGAAGGTCATAAGGGCACACATGTGATCTATTGTGGTTAATATAGCTGGTGTCCAGACATGTTTTCCACTTCAATATTATTCAGATTTTCCTGTTTAGCTTGTTTTCTTTCCATCTTTTGCTTCCTGCTTTTTGAATAACTTCAAAATAACACGTAAAACACTAAGTTCAGTAAAATAATGGGTCAAATTGCTGAATATAGTCTTGCAGCATTAAACATGAACCAAAGAAAGTTGATTCTTTTCGTCTGGACGTTGCATTTTCACTGGTTGAAATCTTTGATCACCCATTCAAATGACTTCAGTTTCAGCTGACTGCAGCTTTCCCAACCTTACAAACACTACATTTGCATAACGACTGAAAACACTGACTCACAATGCTTTCCAAAAAACGTGGTTAATCCCAGTTAGTTCGTTTTGGTTTGGGCCTTTTTCCCCTTAATAAATGACGATCATCACCTGAAAACCGGCCTTATCTTTATCTCATATTAGAACTTGCTTGAGCTGAAACACGCAAGTCTTACAAATATCCAACAAAAAAAAGAGGTTGAAGACTTTTTCACAGTGTTTCACACAAGTTTTGGTAAAAGGTTGAAGTATGTGAAGCCTCTATCAAGAAAAACTGCTGTAAGACATTACTGGAATTGTCTCTCACACCTAGAGGTGTCACATACTAATGCAAAAACAAAGTATGCAGTTCTCCTTTTAGTGTGGTTACAGAGCTCAATTCCCTAAAGTTGTTTTCGAGCGATATTCATTTGCTAAAACAAAAACACAAGATGAGTTTTACTGTTAATAATTTGCTGTCCTTAAGTTTTTTGTTTTTGCCGACAGTCAGCAAACCCTCATCTCTGGAGCTTCCACTTGTCCCCTCCTTTAATCTTTATCAAATTTCACTGGGAGTGCTAATATTGGATCAAGCTTGCAAAATGTGCTTTAAATTTTCAAATAACTTTTAACTACACTCCTCTAATTACGGGTCAGTGAGGGTTCCTGTCAGCTTTGATAGCAGCGCAGGTAGGGAGCGCGTGGGTGCCGTATGCTTGTCCTGCATTCACAGCAGTCTGGCTGTGCATGCACAAATCATTTGCAGCTGCCACATGTCAGAGCTTGAATAAGATGAAGCTCTTAAAATGCCAACAATCATACTAACAAGATCTCTGCAATGTCTGTAATTAAGAAACTGATGGTCAGAAGCTCAGCTCCAAAATAAGTCATTTATTTGTACAAGGATTAGAGCGTTTTTATGAGACAGAAAGGACTTCAGTTTAAAACAACAAGCAGCTTTACATAAAAAAAATATACTGATACAGAACCAGTACACTACATTAAAAAGACAAAACAACCCAACGTAACACTCATGTCAACATTGACGTGATGAAGGCTACAGATAAAAGAAACGTAACTTAAAACTGGCTTACTGGTTTGTCAAAAGAACTGACAACTGAGGTTAAGAGTATCAAACAAGATCAGCAGAATTCCAGTTTCAGAGAAAACACCAGCATTTCTTTTTTTATTTCTTTTTAAGAGAGGTACCTTAGGATGATCCCTAATCATCAAGGTGGGAAAGACTACATATTTCATTATGCTGACATGCTTCCTTGCACTCTTTCCCCTACCCCTCTGCCATCACAGAGGAACTCTGAACTGCTTAAATCCCACCTTGAGGAAATGAGGAGGCATCTGCAGGAGCTCAGAGCTGGGAAACAGGCCTATCCTTCCTTATAGCATTGCTTGAAGCAGTCAAGACATGAGGAAAAAAAGGGAGTCATGTAAGCATAATAAAAAGCACCAGTGATGTTATGATCAGTAATTCATGTCGCCGTATCCAGAGTATGAGCCCTGGGTGTGTCCTCCAAATCCCTGGTACATGCTGTACCCCTGATTCCCCCAGGACGACTGGTTTTCCCAGCCTGTGAAGAAACATTTATAACCCCAGATCATTTATATGTATAAATCAAGATTAAATATAAAGAAATAGGAAAAGCGGGAAGTTACTGTAAGAAATAGAAAAGGAACTTGCCATAATTATTATAACTCTGTCCCCCGGTGACAGAGCTGGGGTAAGCAGTGCTGTACATAGAGTAGTCTCCACCTTGGGTCAGCATCTTTCTCTTCTCATCTCCGTAGCCGTAGCTGTACGGACTCTCCTGATCAGCAGGAGGCGGCATTGACTGGTAGCTTTCTTCTTTTGTGGTGCTGGTGTTGGAGCTGGAGACGGGTGGGGATGAGTACGTGATGGTGGTGCTTTCGGGGTAAAAGGTGCCGTAGGCTGAGGTGGTGGGGGCGGTACCTTTGGCTGTGGCAGTGGCTCCATTATTGCCATATAATTTATCTTTAAGATAAGAGAAACAAGAGGTAAATGAGAGGTAAGTGCCATTTTCTTAAAAGACACAATCCTAGAGCTGCAACTGACGACAACTACAAGTGACTGTTGATCTATTTGCAAATCATAGAACCGAGACAGTTCACGCTTGTTCAAGTTTAAACAAACAAACAAACAAAACCCCACCACACACATAAAGATAAAGATCTTGATGCATGCTCAATCATCCAGGTAAGGGAATCCCAAAAAGTTGATCCTGTTTATCTGGACATAGCGTAGCAGGGAAGCAGAAAAACATCATTTGAAGAAAGCCCTGAGTGAAAGTCGCTATCCCAGCTGGACATTTGTCAAAGGTGGGAGGGCACCTAAAGAAATCTCCAGGCAATCCAGAAGAGAAGAAGGACAACTGTTACCTAAGTGAAAACCTTTAGTGATCCCTTATGTGTCAGGAGTATCGGAACGGCTGAGACCTCATCTCTGTGGCTTTCAACCCCCAAAACGTGCTCTGGTCCACCCTAAGTATCGGGTCCCCCGGCACAACCAGAGTAATTTAGTGTACGCTGTTAAGCCATTGCACACACACACACTTAGGCTGCTGCCCCCGCGACCCGGCCCCGGACAAAGCGGATGAGGATGGATGGATGGATGGATGTTAAGCCATTGCCATGATTTATACACTGGGGAAACCAAACAACCCACAGGTCTATTCACACCTACAGGCCAGTGGACACTCTTTCAATGATGAGGATGTACACATCCTGGGCAGGGAGCAACACTGGTTTGAGCGCAGAGTCAAGGAGACCATTTACATGAAAAGGGAAAGACCTCTGAATCAAGCAGGGGGCCTAAGGGCACCATCTTACAACACTGTGACTGCAGCCAATCCCTAACTCTCTGTGAATGGCCATTGACCAACTATCACTTCTCAATGTTTGTTGATCAATGGTCATGTCAATTTGCATATTAATGATCAAGAAACTGACCTCCAGGCCATTTTTCACCAGTGGTGCTAGTTTCAGTCTTTATGCAAATGTACTGGGTTGGAAACCTGCAGTGAGCTGAGACTGAAGAAGTCATTTGAATGAGTGCTGAAACATTTCTCCAACTGAAAAAGCTACGCCCAGAAGAACAGAATCAACTTTTTGGGACAAAGATAAATAAGTGAAACACATCTTGGAATGTTTACCTAGAAGTTTTAAATTTTGGTAAACATAATTACAAAAAAAAAAAAAAGGTCTTTTAGCCTTGTTATTGCATGCATCATCACATATATCCATCACATATAACTGTAATTAGGCATCTTATGCCTTTCAACGAATCAGCAAAGCTTCTGCATGACATTTAAGCCTTATTTAAAAAAAAGTGTACATCACAAAAAAACATGTAAAACCAAATACACACACCCTAACATAAAACCAGAGTGCATAAAGCTAACAGACATTCAGATACTTACGATAGCCTGTGCCAGTGCTGCTCTCATAACTGTAGTTGGCTTTTAAAACAAGAAATCACCATTTAGTGCAAACTCCATTTACAGGTTTAAAGGTTTCCTACGATGATTAAATTGACTCGTAAATAGCATAAAGTTTCTTACTCTTGTTATAGCTGGGTCCTGCTGGAAACTGCTTGCCTCGACCCCTGCCCCGACCCCCTCTGTGGGGACCCCAGCCACGGGACCCTGAGTCTGAAGGGATGCCGCGGATGGTGCCGAATCCTGGGATGTGCTGTCAAAAAGGAAACGTGAGAAAAATGTCATTTTGAAACAGCCTGATAGTTAAATTGCTTGAGTTGTGCATTTTAAAGCTCACCAGTTGGATACATTACCATGTCAGTGTAGGTGACTTTCTTCTTTGAGGGATTTCTGTTATTTAAAAGTCCACTGTCATCTGGGAACAGCTTCTCTAAAGCAGCGAGGGCAGCGTAGGCCTTTGCTTCCTTCTTGTTGGAGCCTCGTCCTTTGAACTTCTGCCCATCAACTTCCACCTGTGAGACAGAAATGAGGAGAAAAGATTTTAGGATTTTATGAAGCATGTCACAGCATTTATACACAGAGAGTGACTCCTGCTGGTAGAGGAGATGGAGAATGTGTGTTGTGCACGCCGTGTCTATTCTTTTGAGCAGCAGTGCAAAAACATAGCTACAGTGTTCTGCTGAACCTCCACATGTGCAGCATAGCATAACATTAGAATTTTAGTGAGTGGAGAGCCACCACCAACAAATCGCCTGTTACACCCACACAGCCTAACAGCTCATTATAGTAACTCTAATGTATCCTCTGATCTATGGATGTTTATTAGTTTGGGTTTATCCTGCCGAGTT